ACACGATGAACTTTCCTTAATATCAGTACAGTCGAACAATGAAGGCCATCAGTTTAACTGGGACAACATAACTATAGTAGTCTAAGCCAAACATAGACACGCATGGGAATTCCTAGAGGCATGGTTGTCAACCCATAATGCAATCAACAAACACATAGAATTGGACCCCATATATAAACCCATACAGATCAAAACTGGAAATGACACTACTCACCATAATGGACCGGACAGTATAAATTCCAAACGGAGTAGAATAACATCGCTTCACGTTAGGCTCCACTGATGATGTTACCTAGCATGGTGATGAAACGTCTGAACGAGAACAAGCCAGCTCGGTGAGCAAGTCAACAACCCCCCACCCACAAACCAAGCTACAGATCTTTGCAAACACCTTGAAAATTAGGGAGAATCTCCAATAAAAACTAACGTATTCAAAGCAGCAAAAACTAGTGGTGGACCAGAGGATTGGGAATTTTTTTTTAGGATCTCACTGTGGATGATCAAAAGGCTGATAAAGCAGTAGAAAATTCAGTATGAAAATCAACTGGCAAGTGTTAGAGTGATCTTTAAACCGTAAAGCTGAAGAATTGAATAGAACAGAATCCCTACAGTGTGGAAACAGGCCATTCGGCCCATTGAGTCCATACCGACACACTGAAGGACATCCCACCCAGGTTCACCCCCTTACCCTATATCCCTGTAATCCCGCATTTCCTATGGCTAACCAATCTAACCTACACATCCCTGGACAATATGGGCAATTTAGCATGGGCAATCCACCTAAATAGAGATTTTCACAGTAAAAGTAGAAAACAGGCTTCATAGAACATAGAACAGTACAGGCCCTTCGGCCCACGATGTTGTGCCAACCTATTATCCCAAGATCAATCCACCCTGCATACCCTACATACCCTACATTATACGATCATCCATGTCCTATCCAAGAGTCGCTTAAAAGTCTCTAAACTATCTGACTCCACGACCACTGCCGGCAGCACATTCCACACGCCCACCACTCTCTGCGTAAAGAACCTACCTCTGACATCTCCCCTATACCTTCCTCCAATTACCTCAAAATTATGCCCTCTCGTAATAGTCATTTCCGCCCTGGGAACAAGTCTCTGACTATCCACTCTATCTATGCCTCTCATCATTTTGTACACCTCCATCAAGTCACCTCTCATCCTTCTTTGCTCCAATGAAAAAAGCCCTAGGTCCCTCAACCTTTGGTCATAAGACCTGCCCTCCAGTCCATGCAGCATCCTGGTAAATCTCCTGTGCACCCTCCCTGAAGCTTCCACATCTTTCCTATAATGAAGCAACCAGAATTGAACACAATATTCCAAGTGTGGTCTAACGAGGGTTTTGTAGAGCTGCAGCATAACCTCATAGCTCTTAAACTCAATTCCCCTGCCAATGAAAGCCAACACACCATACGTCTTCTTTACAACCCTATTAACTTGAGTAGCAACTTTGAGAGATCTATGGACGTGGACCCCAAGATCCCTCTGCTCCTCCACACAGCCGAGAATCCTGCCATTATCCCTGTATTCTCCATTCAAATTCGACCTTCCAAAATGAATCACTTCACACTTTTCCTCTGACTCCGCACACAAGTTCCCTCCACTATCCCTGATTGGCCCTACCCTCACTCTGGCCATCCTCTTGTTCCTCACACAAGCATAGAACGCCTTGAGGTTTCCCTTGATCCTACCTGCCAAGGTTTTCTCATACCCCCTTCTAGCTCTCCTAAGTCCATTCTTCAGTTCCTTCCTGGTTACCTTGTAGACCTCTAGAGCCCTGTGTGATTCTTGCTTCCTCAACCTCAAGTAAGCTTCCTTCTTCCTCTTGACCAGGTGTTCCACATGTCTCGTTATCCAAGATTCCTTCACCTTACCACCCCTTCCTTGCCTCAGTGGGACAAACCTATCTAGCACTCACAGCAAGGGCTCCCTAAACAACCTCCACATTTCCATTGTGCATTTCCCTAAGACTCCTAAGACCACTGGAATCATGGTAACACACAAGCCCACAGCCACTCTACGACAAACACTCACAAGGGACAACATAACTATAGTAGTCTAAGCCAAACATAGACACGCATGGGAATTCCTAGAGGCATGGTTGTCAACCCATAATGCAATCAACAAACATATAGAATTGGACCCCATATACAAACCCATACAGATCAAAACCGGAAATGACACTACTCACCATAATGGACCGGACAGTATAAATTCCAAACGGAGTAGAATAACATCGCTCCCAATTTATGCTCTGCAGTTCCTGCCTAATAGCATTGTAATTCCCCCTCCCCCCAATTAAATACTTTCCCATACCATCTGCTCCTATCCCTCTCCATGACTATAGTAAAGGTCAGGGAGTTGTGATCACTATCACCGAGATCTGACACCTGGCCTGGTTCGTTGCCAAGCACCAAATCCAACATGGCCTCCCCTCTCGTCAGCCTATCTACATATTGAGTCAGAAATCCTTCCTGGACACACCTGACAAAATCTGCTCCATCCAAACTATTTGCACTAAGGAGGTTCCAGTCTGTATTAGGGAAGTTGAAGTCACCCATGACAACAACCCTAGTACAGAAATGCACCTTTCCAAAATCTGTCTCCCAATCTGTTCCTCAGTGTCTCGTTGCTGTTGGGGGGTCTATACAGAACTCCCAATAAAGTGACTGCTCCTTTCCTATTTCTGACTTCCACCCGTTCCGACTCAATAGACAAACCCTCCTCCACGACCTCCCTCTCTGCAGCTGAGATACCATCCCTGATTAGCAATGCCACTCTTCCACCTCTTTTACCTCCCTCCCTATTTCTTTTGAAACATCTAAACCCTGGAACATCCAACAACCATTCCTGCCCCTGTGTTATCCAAGTCTCCATAATGGCCACAACATCATAGCTCCAAGTACTGATCCATGCTCTAAGTTCATCACCCTTATTCCTGACATTTCTTGCATTAAAATAAATTTACTTCAACCCATCACACTGACTGCAACTTAGCCCCATCAACTGCTTATCTGTCCTCTCAGATTCTCTGCATACTGTATCTGCCTGTACTCCACCTATGCCATCCTCTGATCTGTAGCTCCAGTTCCCATTCCCCTGCTAAACTAGTTTAAATTAATGAACCTGAAGCATTCTAGAAGTTAGTGTTAGCAGGAAGCTGCAAGTCAAAAAGAAGTTCACGACTGGGTGAAGGAGACATTAGACATTGTCCACTCTAGGTCATAGATTAATCTGTTTTTTCAGTTTGTATATTGCACAATTGGATTTTGGATAATGAGATGTTTATGGTATTAAAGTATTCAGTTTTTCTGTATTCTTTAGAGCCTTAATTTGGTCTAATCAGAGCTATACTCTCCCTGCATCGCTTGATTAAAACAATTGTAAACCTGCACTTAGTCTCTAGTGGTCAAAGTTAGAAAAGTTACCACAACAGCAAGAAATAAAAAACAAATAACAAGGGCTTGTACAGGAATGTAGAAAGAAAGTAGCCAGAGTAAGTAAGGGACCCATAGAGGATACAATGGTTATAAATAACAGGGAACAGGGAAATTGCAGATAATTTAAACCAATTCCAGCAGAATAAAAAAATTGCTTATGTGACCTGCCTGTTCAAAAAGAAAGGGAGACAAAAAGCAGGAAACTATAGACTAATTAGCCTAAAGTCTGTCATTGGAAAATGCTAAAGCCCATTCCTTAGAAGACTTTTATTTCGAAAAGCTTAACATAATCAAATAGAGTTAACAATGCTTTGTGAAAGGGAATTCGGGTTTGATAAATTCGCTGGAGTTCACAGAGGATATAACAAACAGAGTTAACAAAAGGGAACCGGTAGACGTGGAGTATTTAGTTGGAAACACAACTTTTGGAGTGCCACAAGGACCAGGCCTTGGGTGTCAATTATTTAACGATGTGTACTAATGACCTGGAAGAGGAGCCGAGTGTAATGGATCTGAATTTGTTGATGATACCAAAATAGGTGGACGGCAACTTTTGATGAGGACAAATAGATTAAGTGAGCAGGCAAAAACTTGGAGTTGAATGGGAGAAAGATTGAAGGCATGCACTTTGGTGGGAAGAATCAAAGGCAGCCTGTTGTTTAAATGGAGAGAAACCGTACAAAAGTACAGCACAGAGAGATCTGAGTATCCTTGTATCCTTGTGCATGTCACACAAAACATTAACACACAAGTACAGGGAACAATTAAGAAGACAAATGGAATTTTGAACTTTATTGCTGAGGGCTTAGAGTTTGAAACTAAGGAATTCTTGTTATAACTGTCCAGGGAATTGGTGAGGCTAGATCTGGAGTTCTGTGTATAGTTTTGCCCCCAACAATTAACTCCTGGGATGGAGGATTGACTTATCAAGAATAGCTAAACAGATCAGGCCTTTATCAGTTAGATTTTAAAAGATTAAGGGGTGATCTTACTAAAACATACAAGATTCTGAGGCTTGGCAGGGTCGATGTTGAGGGGTTTCCACAAATGGAGGAATCTTGAACTCGGAGACATAGTTACAGCGTAATGGACACTCATTTCAAACTGAGATGTGAATGCAGTTTGTCCCTCAGTGGGTAGTGAATGTCTGGAATTCTCTACCCCAAAGAATTATGGAGGCTAGATCACTGAAAATATTTAAAGAGGGTGTAGAGAGATTGTTGAAATATCAGGCACTTGAGAAATATGAGGAGATGGCATGAAAGAGAAGTTGAAGCCTGGGATAGAACAGTCATGTCGTCATTGAAAGGGACGGGAGGTTTGGGAGGTCAAATTCCCAACTACTGCTCAACTTTATGTTCCCCCTCAGCGCTGACCCCACCCACAGTGCGGCACTCCCTCAGTGCTGACCCCACCCACAGTGCGGCACTCCCTCAGCGCTGACCCCACCCACAGTGCGGCACTCCCTCAGCGCTGACCCCACCCCAATATATAGACATCACAATAATACAACCCCAACTTTCATTCCACCCATTACCTGCTGGGCTCGGTTGAGAAAAGGCATCCTTTGTGAAGCTGACCACCTGGTGACAAAAGAACCTGGAACAGGAGCAAAAATGAAAAATCAACACCTCGTCCTCATTTCCACCATCCCTGCCATGGGAGAGTCTGATGGAAAAAAATTGTAGAGGGAGGTTTATTCTGTAGCTAACCTCATGTTGTCTGTTCTGGGAGTGTTGGATGGGGAGAGTGTAGAGGAACCTTTACTTGTACTTTAAAGGATCAGAGGGAGATTTAATGTGATGCTGATTAAAAGCACAAGTTCCCAGCACTCACCTGTAGTTCTGCAGGTCAAGTTGATCCAGGGCACTAAAGAAAAGGAAGGACATGAGATCAGCTCAAACCAACTACAACTGAATTTCTGAGATAGTAGGAACTGCAGATGCTGGAGAATCTGAGCTAACAAGGTGTTCTGAAGAAGGGTCTAGGCCCGAAATGTCAGCCTTCCTGGTCCCGTGATGCTGCTTGGCCTGCTGTGTTCATCCAGCTCTACACCTTGTTATCTCTACAACTGAATTTCTGTCAATTTTTACCTGTTGGCCTATATCGAAATTACCTTGATCGCTGCTTTCTGCAGAGACCCTTTCCTCTCAATTCCCTGATGGTATTCCTTCCGGAATTCTCTACTTCAGAACAAACAGCTGAATTATTACAAATCAGGACCTGCCCATCGCTGCCCTCACCAGCTTTTCAAACAAGCACCTCACTTGCTGCCAGTCTCCAGCCTTCTCTCTGCGATCCTACACATTCTCCCTTTTCAGGAAAGGTTGTGTCTCCTTTCTGAATGCTTCAGGTGAAACAATCTCCCCGACTTTCTCAAAATGTATTCTAGATCTTTTTAACAAAAAAAAACAGAAGAAATGCAGATGTTGGAAATCAGAAACAAAAACAGAAGTCGTTGGAAAAACTCAGGAGAGAAACAGAATTAAGGCTTTGGGTCCCATTCCAGACCCTAACCAGGTGCTGCATGAAAAAACTTTCCCTCACCACATTTGCTTCTTTTACCAGTCGTTTTAAATCTGTGCCTCCCTGATCTCGATCGTCTCTGAGGCAGAACATTTTCTCCCCATCTACCCTGTCCTCGCCTCTCGGGGAGGGGGTGGGCGAGGCGAGACGGGGGGGTGCGAGACAGAGGGCGGGGAGGGGGAGGGCGAAGACTGGGCAGACAGCTCGCGAACTGATTCACTCCTTGTTGTGGGGAGCCAAGGAGCTGCCATTCTGACCACAGCCACTAGGTGGTAGAGCATGCAGCCAAGTCCAGACAGAGGCAGGAGAGAGTTGATTCACATCAATGCCAACTCGACAAAACCACACAGATAGTAGGAACTGCAGATACTGGAGAATCTGAGATAACAAGGTGTAGAACTCTAAGGTTTTGGAGTAGATCTGTTCTTTACAAAAAGGGTCTAGGCCCGAAACGTCAGCTTTCCTGCTCAGCCTGCTGTGTTCATCCAGCTCTACACCTCGTTATCTCAACAAAACCTCAAATTACTTAAGGAGTTATTTTCAGTCACAGTGTTTCTGACTGTTAAACTAACCCTTCCAAATTTCTATGCTTGTTAAAGGACCAGGAAGAGTCCATTCAGCCCCTCTGGCCTGTTTTGCTGTTCTAATAAATTCTGGGTGATTTGATTTTAACTTCATTAGCCCCAACATCCCCATATTCTGCAATACCCCACCCAACAGAAACACTCAATAGCTGTGACTCCGCAGCCCCCGCAACCCACCCAGGAACAGCAGTGAGCTGATAAATCCTTCAGGCACTGACCTCACTGTATTAGTCGGCTTTCCGACCGGAATGTGTTTGATGTTGAGGAAGTCGAGGATTTCCTGGGACAAGGTCCAATTGTCGCATTCACACACAAGACCCTGTTTCAGAGAGAGGGAGAGAGAGACAGAAAGAAATCAGTCTGCATACACAGAAAGCCACTGCCTGCTCACCCTCGCTCATCCCAGCCCCGCCAGGGCCCGCCCCCCCAGACTCCAACCTGGCCAGGGTCCAGTCACAGTAGGAACTAAGGCCCAAGGCCCAGTCCTCAGACACCAGCCCACCAGGGACCAGGGCCCAATCCCAGGAACATGATTATGGTCACATCAGTTATTGACTGAAGGACAAATGTTGGCTCCAGGACACAGGCTCACAACTGAGTTCTTCTTCAAAATACTGAAGATGGGATCACTCACACCTCACAACAGGCCTCAGTAAAATCCTCACCCAAAACTGAACTCCCTCAGCACTAACTCCCACCCCCACCCTCAACAGCGCAGCGCCCCCTCAGTACTGCTGTCTGTCTCCATCACTCTGGGCTTTACCTGTAAATATGCCTCCAATCCTGACCTCTTCTGTTCCAGGGCTTTGGGTCTTCGATTGAGACCTCTCTTTGTGGGAAAGTCTGGTGTTTTGGTCGTCTTTTTTAACTGTTGGTGACAGAAACATGGAGAAAACATCAGAGTCGGACACCTCACCTCTAGGCTTTGGAGGGAGGGCTGGTGGAGTGGAAGGCGCTAAGAGGAGGTGGCTACAATGCCGCTGTGGTCAGACCCATCCTGCTCTTGCCATCTCCCTCCGAGGGGGAGGTTGACCCGGAGTTCATCCACAGACTGGTGATGGCAGCATTGCGAAGGTGGACAGATACAAGAGGCCAGTATAGCTGCTGACTGAACAGACTTATATCACTGAACATTGGAAGATCAAAGGTGGTATTAAATCAATCCATCATTTCACCTCACATCACCATCCTGTAATTATTTCCCAATCCTTTAGGGTTCCTTCTCTAGTCTTAGTGCTCACCCTCATTATATTCCATTCACAGGGAACGTCACAGAATGGGCACCAGAAACAGAGCCAGAATGAAAAAACAGAGACTCAAATGAGAAAAGCAAGCTTCAGAAAACCACTGGGTCTTGTAGGCTCTGTTGTTGAGGATGTTTAAGGTACAGATTGATAGGTTTCCAATTACCAACGGTGTACAGGGATAGGGTGGGTAAAAAAGGAGGAAGTGTTAGATCAGCCATGATCATATTAAATGGTGCAGCAGGTTCGAGGGGCTGAATGGCCTTCTCTGCTAAGTTCCAAAAATAAAACCCTTGCTCCCAGGACAGGGACAGCACAGGGTTAGATACAAGAGTAAAGCTCCCTCTACACTGTCCCCCATCAAACACTCCCAGGACTGGGACAGCACGGGGTTAGATACAAGAGTAAAGCTCCCTCTACACTGTCCCCCATCAAACACTCCCAGGACAGGGGCAATCAATGTACATTGTTCTGAGAAACTGACTTGAACACATTCCATAAATTAATCGTCCTAAACTAATTTTGTCGATTTCTTTTATACAGTCTACACGAAGATTAAAGTCCCCCATGACTATTACATCGACTTGTTATAAGCTCCTTTTATTTCTGATTAATGTTGTGTCTAACAATATAGTTACTGCTCAGGGGCCTCGGAACTGCTCTCACCAGCATTTCTGACACTCACTGTTTCTGATATATCCTGTTCTTCCAAGCCAGGATCGCTCCTCTCTCCCGGCTGTGTCGTTTATTATCGGGGCTACCCGCTGTCCCATCGGCCCACTTTAATAAACATCAGGTCTCCTGGAATTCCCAACCTGTGTCGTCACAGCTCTATAACCTGGATTACATCCATCCCATTTCGCTCCATTTGGTGCCAATAGTTCCTCAATAAGAGGGATGTTTGGTGCAGTCAGATAAAACACCTTCAGCAATAACTTCTCACCATTTTTCCTTTATTTGACCCTCCTCATTGGTGCAATATTAGCATTAACCCTTTCTCTCACTCGCTCTCTGCTTATCTTTACCCAATCTCTACACTGCTCTGAGGCTGTGATGTTTCTCTTTAGATTTACTAAATTCCCTCTCTGTGAACCTCCTCCTTAAAATATTGGCAGCCTGTTACACAGGAGACAAGCCCCAGCCTGGTTTCAGTGGAGTTGGTCACAATGGAACAGCTCCCTCTTTCCTGTAACAGTCCCAGTGGCCCAGGAATCAAACCCCCTACACCACAGCAACACATTCAACTCCCTAATCCGTTTGTTTCCATTTACTCCCTCCATCATTTGCTGCAGCCAATCACCAAGGTTCCTTCCAAACCTGTGATCTTTCCCATTGAGAAAGTCAACAGCAGTAGATACCAGTCCCCGCAAGTTCCCCTCCAAGCCACACACCATCCTGACTTGGAAATATATCACTGTTTCTTCAGTGTCGTTCAGCTGAAATCCTGGAACTCCCTCACTAACAGCATCATGAGTGTGTGTCAGAGGTTCACAGAATTATTACAATGCAGAAGAGGCCATTCAACCCACGGTGCCTGCACCCATTCTTCAAATGAGCATCATTACCTCGTGCCAATCTCCTGCCTTTTCCCCCCACACACTTACGCACTAATTCTATCCAAATAACCATCCAATACCCTCTTCAATTGAACCTGCCTCTACATTTCCAGGCAGTGCATTCCACATCCAAATCACTCACCAAGTGAAAAGAATTTTTATTACACCATAGTTGTTCCTTTTGCACACCATTTTAAATCTATCCCCTCTTGTTCTTGTACCTTTTACAGGGAACGACTTCTCCCTATGTACTCTGTCCAGCCCACTCACGAAAACCTCCATCAAATCTTATTTCAGCCTTTTCCTCTCAAAAGGAGACAAGTCCTAACTTTTCCAATCTATCCTCATCACCATTCTGTCATTCCTCATTCCTGGAAGAGAGTTTCTGTAAATTGCTTCTGCACTCTCTTCGATATGTTCACATCTTTCCCGTAACATGGCGCCCAGAAACGTACGCAATACTCCAGCTAGGGTCTAACAAAGTGTCTTGTACAAGTTCAACATCCTTGGTCCTTGCTCCTGTAAAGCTGAGGACACTGTTTTATTAACTGCTCTCGCTACCTGTCCAGCCACTTCCAATGATCTCTGCACATATGTACCCAGGTCCTTCTGCTCCTGCCACATCCCCTTTAGAACTGTATCCCGTTTTATATTGTTTTTCAATGTTTTTCCTCACCTCTCCACAATGAACTCTATTTCCCATCTACCACCTGGTCAATGTCTTTTTGAAGTTCTAAGCTGTCTTTCTCAGTTTATAATTCATCCAAAGGCCTCTTGTGGTGCAGTGATATTGTCCCTACCTCTGAGTCAAGAGGTCTGGGTTCAAGTCCCACCTGCTCCAAAATATCTGATTCTTCCAAATTTAGTGTCATCTGCAAACTCAAAAACTGTCCCCTTAACACCAAGATCCGGACCATTAATATATCTCAGAAAAACAAGCATCTTCATCCTGACCCCTGGGGAACTCACAACAAACCTTCCTCCAGCCTGAAAAATATCCATTGACCATTCCTCTGTTTCCTACCTCACAGCCAATGTTGTATCAATGTTGCTAATGTGTCTTTTGTACCAATGACTTATACTTCCCTCTCAAATCTTGTGTGGCGCTGTATCAAGTGCTTTCTAGATGTCCACGTATACCACATCAACAGTTAGTTAAACACAGTCCCTTCAGAAATCTATGCTGACTCTTCATAACCAACCCATCTTTTTCCATATGACTATTAGTTCTATCCTGAATAATCTCTAGAAGTTTTCCCATCAGGGAGATTAAATTAATGGGTCTGTAATTGTTGAGATTATCCTAACAACCTTTCTTGAACAAGGCTGCAATTTTTCAGTCTTCTGGCACCTACGCTGTGCACAGGGGAGACTGAAAGATTGTGGTCAGTGGCCTTGCAATTTCCACTTTCACCTCCTTCCAGAGCCTTGGATGTATCTCATCCAGTCTTGGTACCTTATCAGCTTTAGGCACCAACAGTCTATCCAACACTCATGCCCCACCAATTTTGAACAATTCTAATGACTGAGTTTCCTCCTCTGTCATTCACGGCCTGGGTAACATTTCCATCTTTGGTGAAAACAGGAGTTAAGTATTCACCTCAGCATCTGCCTCCAGGTTTAAAGCACTTTCTTTGTTTCTAATCTAACTTATTGTTCCTTTTACGATCTTTCTTCTGGTCACATACTTACAGAAGACTTTGGGATTTCTTTTGATGTCCACTGCCAGGCTTTTCTCATAGTCTGTCCTTGCTTCTCTAATGTATTTTTCTACCTCCCCTCTAAAACAATGGTATTCCTTTTGGTTTGTAACTGTATTCTCCACCTGACACCTGCCATAACTATACTACTTTTCCTTTCTCATCCAGGGAGCTCTGGATTGGTTTGTCCTTTCGAGGGAGTACACGTGGACTATACCTGAACCACGTCCTCTTGGAGGGTAGCCTCAGTTATAGATCTTCAGTTATAGATTCACTACCAACCCTTAGGACGTTCCAGTCAATCCTGCCCAGCTATGTCTTGCAGTTTGCACTCCACCAGTTGATTCTTCTTACTCAGGACTGACCAACCAGATTTTCCAACACCTTCCTGAACCTTATGATGCAATGATTACTGTCTGCTAAATGCTCCCCTACCAACACTTGATCCACTGGATCCATTTCATTTCCAATGATGCATCCTTTCCTGTTGGACTGGACATACGTTGTCAGAAACTCTCCTGAACATGACGTACCCACACTATAGCAGAGCCGGGGTAACGAATCAGCAATAACTACACAGGACCTAGCAGGGCTGTCCTCTGGAAGGGGAGGATTGGGAGCCACTAGGCAAGAGGAGGTGGAATGCGGCGAGGGCTATGAGGTCACCAGGTGGGGTCAGGGACATTGGACCACCAGGCAAAGGGAGCGTATGAGAGCATCAGGCCAGTGGAGAGTGGCAGTAACAGGGCCACCAGGCGAGGGATGTCAGTGGGAGAGGGGGTGGGAGAGGGGGTGGGCGAGGGGGGCGGCGGGGGGAATGCCCGGAAAGGAGGGGGAGGGGGAGGGGGAGGGGGTTTAGTGAAGGTGATGGGGGCGGGGCAGGACAGGGCAGGGCCTGACCTTTTTATGTAGAGCCTGGAAGTCTCGGTATCTTCGATCCACCAGGTGTTTGCGCCCGTTGTTGAGAACCTCGACCCGGAAAACCTGCAACCGGAAGCGACATTAATTAAAACCCCCCCC